AAGATTGAAGAGATAAAATCAAATCATGAAGAGATAAAATCAAATCAGGAAGATAAAGTTGAATCAAACTCTTTGAAGCTAAGAGATAGACAAAGATCTACAAAAAGATAAAACCAAATCTCGAAGAACAGATCTACTTCACGCCTACACATCTATAAAAGGGATAGCCTGAAGAATTAAGAAAACACGTACAACGACAGAGAGTTTGAGAAAGTTTATTTTAAAGAGAGTTTTTATTCTGGTGAGTATCACTTGAGGGGGAGAGCTTGAAAGTAATAATAGTGATGAACCATTCAGGAGAGTGTGGAAATACTTGGGGTGCATTTTATTGGTAGAATTCACGTTGTAAAAGGGAACAAACTCAGGGGAGTTGTGTTCGTGGGTTGGATTAAGCTCGAACGAAAAAGAGTTGTAATTCACGATCTTTACAATGAATAGAATCAGCGGCTTGTTGAAGAATATGTATTCGTTAACTTTTTCAAAAATTCTCTCACACATCTATACGTTATATTTTAACATGTTTTACTTTTAATCACATATTTTTCGATAAATACTTTTGGTGATGTTACCTATTCTAAAACTACTTCAAAACATAGCTTTAAAGTTCACTTTACATAACCAACTGAAAAAGTATATAAATATTATTAACATCAATAGTTTAATCAATTATTTTAGCTTACCATTGATTCTATAGTATTTACATATACAGTCATTGGATTTCTCTCATATTTGATTAGTCTTCATGTTTCTCTTACCTAAAAATATGTCAAGATTTTCACCCTTATCCATACTTTTTACATCGATCATCATTCATTATTCCTTTCAATATATGGAATATCACAATCATCTTGAATTTGAAAATAATTTTCTTAATTAATATCTTAATAATAACATACATGTAATTAATACTTTATATTTTAACAAAATAATAGTAAGAAAAAATAAAATATAAAAAATATAAAACCTATATTTATATAGATTTGGAATAGTTTAGATCAAAAAACAAATAAGGTGATTCGATTGAGTTAATTCATCGAATTTGTGACTTGTTCGTAAGTCTATGGATTATCGATTTCATTAACAACTAAATAAGTAAATTAAAATAAACCAATAATACTAAATAATAATCTAATCAAATATATAATAGTTTAGAACCAAAATATTGAATAATGTGAATCAAATAAAAATATAACTAGACAACTGATTTTTTTTAAAATATAACAAAAAAATCGATTTTTTTAATAAAAATGAAAATGTTAGGTCAAGCATTGGACACTTAGACGAGCGTTGGACACTCGAGTGAACGATAGGTTGAGAGATCCAAATGAATACTCAATCGAGTGTTAGCTCAAAACACTTTAAAGATAAGAGTGTTTCAGAAAGTTAAGACATTGGGTTATTTTTCGAACTAAAAGACATAACTGTCATTTAGAAAATCGTCCTAAACTTTCAAAAATTTTACACATAAGAGAAAAACAAGTTCTTGAGGTTTCAACAAAGCAGATCTAATCAAATTGGATCCAACACGTCATGTGGACTTCTACAGAGGACGTTGGCTTTTTTATCGCCTTAAGTGGTGTTGTTGATTATCGAAGAACATGTCCGGATTGACAACAAGTTAGTATCTCTATCTTGAGAATATTGCATGCATGAACTATTGTTTATGGTTTAGAAAAAAAAAGCATTTTTGTTATATAAACCATGAATTAGATCTCTTCATGAATTATGAATTGTATGAGTCGGACTTGATAACCCAACTCCAATCACCCATATTTAAGCTATAAGAATTGTAATTTTGTCTTCTTATCTCACCAAGATAGATCAATATATTCACCTTGGTATGACCCATAACTCAAACGATTAAGACCTTGATAAGTGCTTCTATTATTGGGCGATATAAGCTTTGAATTTTCGAAGAAATGTTTTCAACCATGTATAGATTAGCACATTCATGTTCAAGTAATGAGAAACACGATTTCTCCATCATGTCTCACTAAGATAGTTTGATATTCTTAATCTTGTAATGACCTATGACGCAGACGGTCGAAGTCTTAATAAGCGCTTTACTAATGAAAAGCGAATAGATTTAAGTATAATCATTGCACTTTGTTCATACATATTATTCGATCCAATTACGTCTTCTACTCGGTTGAGTAACCCTAGTCCCAAAATTCTTTCTTGATCAAACTATTGAAGAAATAAATATAAACAACAAATCAAGATCTATGATTCATTGGGAGCTAATCTAGTGGAAGATTATTATCAAAAGATATTTTGAAGATTGCAATCCAAGATGGAAGAGTTTAGAAAAGTTAGATCTCAATTACATGGCTTGGTTGATATTTGACATATTCTTAGATGATCTAATTTCCTTTTTTTTTTCCATTCAAATATTTATATTCTTTTTCTATTGTAAGTAGATGATAGATATTATTGTTTTCTTGTAAATATGTTTCTATTTAAAACCTATGTACCCAAATCAATCTTGAGGAGAATATTGAAGAAATAAATATAAACAACAAATCAAGATCTATGATTCATTGGGAGCTAATCTCGTGGAAGATTATTATCAAAAGATATTTTGAAGATTGTAATTCAAGATGGAAGAGTTTAGATCTCAATTCCATGCCTTGATTGATATTTGACATATTCTTAGATGATCTAATTTTCTTTTTCTTTTTCTTTCAAATATTTCTATCCTTTTTCTATTGAAAGTAGACGTTAGGTATTATTATTTTTTTGTAAATTTGTTTCTATTTAAAGCCTATGTATCCAAAAATCATAATATATAAGAAATCATTTTTCTAATACATCTTTTCTTCTTCTCTCGGTATATACTAAACCGAGAAGAATAAACTCTTACATTCCTTTACTTCTTAACTTATTTACCCGATTGAACAACATGCACTTGATCTGAGTAAACCATCTACTTGATCGAGTCATGTTTCAGACTTGTCATAAATTGCAACCTACTCGGTTGGGCGACACCTTAATTAACCATGGCGAATTCAGAAAATTAGGGTTTCAAAAGACTGAATCGATCCTAGTTCAATCTAACTCGGTCTGGTTCAGAAGTAGAACGGCCCCAGTTATAACTAACTCAATTAGATTCAAGTTTTTGAGCGAAATCTATTTTTTTTTCATATTTTCTCAAATCAACTCACGATTATACCCAACAACATATGTTATGCTATATTATCAAATCTACAACTAGATATAATAATATATGTACAACTATTTATGCACAAAACTATGAAAGTAAACCTAGATTTAAACATTGTTGTTTGGGTTCTATAATATGCAAAATAACTAGATTCCGATACCATTGTTGGATTTTTTTAGATCGCATACATGTGTCATAACTATATATGGTTATATAACGAAAGATAATACAAAAATTTTCTAATCCTAGAACGTGCATGCTATAGATCTCAAGGATCAATTTGCTAATTTTTTTTAATATCAGATAATCAATAATCAAATAATTTAGGGGCTCTATTTCTAATCCTGAAATCCAATTTCATTCTTGGATTTCATTCTACAAATAATAAATTATTTCTATATTTATAAATTATTTCTAGTAAAAGATTATAACTAATCATAATAAATACAATAATCTAATAAAAAAAATAGTAATACCTCAAACAATAATCATTTTTTTTACTCAATATCATTTCTCAAACATAATGCATGGAGTCAACTACCTTATCCGATTTGATTATTTTCACATTACTCATTTGAGGAGTTCAACGATATCTCTTTCGATTCGAAACAAATTTTATCTTTACTATGTATAATCCTATACATGACTCATAATATACTTGATCAATGTCGTTATAATAATATTCTTCTTTATAAAAATATATCGGCAGCAAATATTGTTTTTATACATCAGCACAAATTTCAAAACGAGAAAACTATTGCCTTTTTCTTCCTTCAAATTTATTTTGTCAAACAAAATAAAATTATGCAAATTTTCGATTTGAATTTGGATATTTTAATTTAGGAAGAGTAATAAATGTAGGATAGTTTTCCATTTTAGCTTTAGTTTTTTATTTTTTATTTTTATTAATTTATCTAAAAAGCATTACGCCTTCTAAAAGATTCCACCTGTCGTCCACCATTAACTTCAACGCGAATATTACTCAAATAACCCACTTTGGTCGCAGTAATTTCAGCGTACAAATTTATCTAAAAAGCATTACGCCTTCTAAAAGATTCCACCTGTCGTCCACCATTAACTTCAACGGGAATATTACTCAAATAACCCACTTGGGTCGCAGTAATTTCAGTGTACACCACCGAAAAAAAAAAAATTTTCAATTTTAACCCACTTTTTGGTTGGAAAAGTCCGAAATACCCTTTTCGTTTTATTTTTTGCGACCTTATTACGACTAACATATAACTGATATACCACTAAAATAAGACAGATGATTTTTTTGCCACCTTTTTTAGAATCAATTGTAATTATATTTAGAATTAATTACGAAGTCGTAATAACGAAGTTGTTTTCGAACGGATAAAAATCGCGTATTCATTAAGGGTAATTTCGTCTTTTCACACGAAAAAAAAAGTGTTATGTTTTTTCTGGTGTACACGTGAAATAGGTGCGACCGAAGTCGGTCATTTGATTAAAATTCCCAACTTCAACATCCTCCGTATTTTATTCTCTAAAGAATCTTATTTTATTTTGACAAGTCCACCACCTTTTGCTCGTTTTGTGTTGTATCCTCTTGTTTTCAAGTAGTAAAATAAACAAAGAATACGGTGTTATGCTCTTCAATGAAGAGTCTTCAACGACTCGAAGAAAATCCTCTCTCGTCCTCTGTTTTTCTTCAAGTTTCCACAGTCTTAGTTAAAACATAAGAAAGAGACAAAACAGAAAGACCATCTTCTTCTCAAACAGGTCGGCTTATTCAAATCTCTAGACTTTTCCAAACGAAAGTTTCAATTTTCCTTCTTAGTTCTCTCTCTTTCTCTCTCTCTCTCTCTCTCAGATCATATAATGGCGGGTTGGTTTCTGTCATTGACATCAACTGTCCTGATTCATACACAATTGCTTCTTTTTGTTTGCTTTCTTTCTTCCCAAAGACGTTAAACCGAACCAATTTATCAAAAGAGTTGTTTTTTGGTTACTAATACATACCATACATGTATTATGAGGTGTTCGAAACTCTCACTTCTTTTTGCTTTTTAAAAGGGTTTCTAAATCTTTGGAGTTCTGCAGAAATAAAACTAAGCTTTTGATGAAAGGGGCAGTTTCTTGGAAGGTTACAGACTTTAAAAAGCTCAAGTCTTTTCGTTTACCTTGTAATTGGAAAGAAAAAAAAAGTCTCAGCCTTTGATTCATCTGAATTTCTTAGAATTCAGAATTCAATTTTGGTTTTTTTTTCTTTTAAATTTCTCTTCATGGGTGTTTTCTTTTACCTCTTGCAAAGTCGTGTCGAAGAAAAATTCTGATCACTAGTTTTGAACTCTCGAGACCCTCTCGGATTCAGGACACGACACAACACCGGCTACCACTAAATTTCAGTTTTGACTGGACTTCATTTGTTGTTTGGTAATGAAATGAATGACTGAATGAAAACGATGGCTGTGATTTGAACTTGCGAATAATTGGACTGTTTGTGTGAAATTTGTGGTTAGCCTTGATCCTTGTCCTATATTTTTTTTTCCTGTTTCAATGTCTTTTAGAGAACCGAATATAACGTCTGGTTGCAGAGAGGTTCTTTATATAGGTGAAGCTAAAGGCTCCATAAGCATCAGAAACCATTATAACATTCTTTGTTCTGGAAATCAATGGCGGAAGAGGACCTCAAAGAATCTCCAACCAGTTCGCCAAGGAATCATCTTTACATCCTCTTCAAGGATGTCAGGTAGATTTTGTGTAGTGAATGTTGGATTCTATTACAGTTTCAAGAACTTTTTTTCTTATTACAATTCTTGCGTCTTTTTTTTATCAGATCAGTTCTGAAATTAGACGAGCTCGGGTTAGAGATTGCGCGAATAGCTTTACCTGCAGCACTTGCTTTGACAGCTGATCCTATTGCTTCTCTTGTCGACACAGCTTTCATTGGCCAGATCGGTGATGACAACAACCTTTTTTTTGCAAAGCTCGTTTCCTTCTTCAAAATCCACGCTAGACATCGCCTTCTTTTTTGTGGATTCAGGTCCAGTAGAGCTTGCAGCTGTCGGGGTTTCTATCGCCTTGTTCAATCAAGTTTCAAGAATCGCGATATTCCCGCTCGTTAGCATCACGACGTCTTTCGTGGCCGAGGAAGATGCTAATAGTTCATCGAGAGGAACCGGGAAAGATAGTGAATGCTTGGAAACTGGTTTGAAAGCGAATGAAGAGAATCAAGAACTGATTCCCCATAACGGTACTTAAAGATTCAGTTTCTTGAATTCGATCTTTGCCGTAAGATAAGAGCGACTTAACCTGTTTCCTCTCAGATTCTATGACGGGTGAATCAAGATCTGTACATACGCCTAGCAGTAGCTTCAGTGTTACTAAGATTCCCGACAAAAAACGAAATATTCCATCAGCCTCGTCTGCATTGATCATCGGAAGCATCCTCGGCCTTCTACAAGCCGTACTTCTGATCTCCGCTGCGAAACCTCTTCTAAGTTTCATGGGAGTTAAACATGTAAAATACTATCTTTCAGGTTTTATCCTAATCTAGTTTCTCTGTCTGTTACTAGAACTTGGATGTTTGGTAAACATTGAGGTTGTCATATTCTTACAGGATTCACCAATGCTGAAACCGGCTCAACAGTATCTGACACTCAGATCGCTTGGGGCACCAGCCGTTCTTCTCTCGCTCGCGATGCAAGGCGTGTTTCGTGGATTCAAGGACACCAAAACCCCGCTATACGCAACTGGTATTATATATATATATATATATAAGTTGTCAAAGATTTGGTACACTAATCCAATCCCACATGGTTTTCATCTTTGTCGAATCTAACAGTGATTGGGGATCTCGCAAACGTAATACTCGATCCGATCTTCATATTCGTGTTTCGTCTCGGTGTCAGAGGAGCAGCCATGGCTCATGTTATATCACAGTGAGCTGATCCATCTGTCACAAACGCTACAGAATCTCGAAACCTTTTCGGTATTTTCCTTCTCATTTGCATCGTCGTATATTCGTTTCAGATACGTTATTGCCGCCATACTCTTGTGGAGACTGATGGGTCAAGTCGATCTCTTAAACCCGAGTACCAAACATCTTCATTTCGGAAGATTCATAAAGAATGGTATTTAGCCGAAGAAAAACCTCGCCTTCTTTCATTGCATTTCCTCCTGAAAACAACCTGCTCCTTTCTTTGAAACGTTCAGGTTTTCTTCTACTGATGAGGGTTATTGCCGTGACGTTCTGTATAACCTTATCCGCGTCGTTAGCCGCACGAGAAGGTCCTAGTCCAATGGCCGCCTTCCAAGTTTGCTTGCAGGTCTGGTTGGCTACTTCGCTTCTTGCTGACGGATTAGCAGTCGCTGGCCAGGTCAGTACATTTTGTCTTGAGATAATCGCCTTCCTCGCGGTTGCGGGTTTCTATTCAGTTTATTTCGGTTTTAGAAAAACTATATCGGTTCGTAATTTATGCTAAATCTTGTTCAGGTTTGACTTTTCTTGATAAGAAGTCTCATTTTTCAGAAAAACTTTCGATTTCTCGGTTATTTTAACAGTCGGGTAGGAATTGATTCGGGTTAGTTTTTTCGATTTTAGAAATTTACATCAGATTTGGTTTAGATCGGTTTGATTTTGCATACCGAACCGAAATGGCCACTTCTGGCTCAAATATGTAGTGGACTCAGCATTTTGGGTATTCCAACATCTGTGTCATAGGCGATATTGGCGAGCGCATTTGCCAAGAAGGATCACAAGAGAGCTGCAGCCACAGCCTCTCGGGTACTGCAGGTACGACTTGAAAGATTACACAATGATTTTCCTTGTAGGAGATTTTCTGTCTGAAAACAAAAGAACCGTTATGTGACAGTTGGGGTTGGTTCTCGGGTTGCTGCTCGCGGTTTTTCTTGGAGCAGGGCTTCGTTTCGGGGCAACGCTATTCACGAAAGACGACGACGTTCTACGACTCATCAGCGTTGGACTCCCGGTACTTTTGTTTTTCCCTTCACCTCGAATCCACGTTAGAACGATCAAAATCACATCAATGCAATGATAGTTATATACATGGAGGCATCCAAAATGGGCACTCGAAATCTCGGATATTGTTCCACCGGCGAAAAGAGTACGTGCTCGTCTCTAGTGAGAAACCCGACCTTTGGGTCCCGTTGACGATTAGCCGTGTTATGCGGGTACTCGAATGAGAAGGGGAGGGCGAGGGTGAGGGAAAAATTAGCGCTTTGTTTTAAAATAAAGATTAGGGTTTGTTTCGGGTTGAGTCGAGGACGAAGAGCAATTAAGCGAAGGAGACGGCAGTTTAGGGTTTCGGTTCTCACTCTCGCTCGAATCCTCTTGCCTTGCTCCTCTCGGCTCGCCGGTACCCGAGTCCTACCCAAAACCTGGGTATCCAACCATTACGAAGTTGAGATCGGGTTTCGAGGGGAGCGAGGCTAATGCCGAATATAAAGAAAAACTCGGGTAGCCGACCAGTGTCCGACCCCCTAAATCAAAACCCGAATGAGGTACGAATCGGTTGATCCTTTCTTCGTCTCTTCGGTCCCCAGTTCGTTGCAGGCACTCAACCGATCAACGCGTTGGCGTTTGTTTTCGACGGTGTGAACTTCGGGGCATCAGATTTCGGGTACTCGGCGGCTTCATTGGTAATGGTGGCTATTGTTAGCATCGTGTGCTTGTTCTTACTCTCGTCGGCTCATGGATTCGTTGGACTCTGGTTCGGCCTCACCATTTACATGAGTCTCCGCTCTGCCGTTGGCTTCTGGAGGTACAATTAAAACTCCATATTTTCACCAATCTTTGCTAAATACATTAACAATCTGACACCATGTCAAGTTATAAAACTAAACGATCAAATTTCTTACTTGGGATTCCACAATTTTTCATATTTTTAACATAATTAAATGATGGGTAATTCGAAAAAAATATATAAAATCTCTTAAACAATTATTTAAAATCTACAAAATTTATAAATTCTTTGTATTTTAAGTGGTGAAAATGTGAATGTGAATGAGAAAATGTTGTGGTGCAGGATTGGGACAGGAACAGGGCCTTGGTCTTTTCTCAGGAGCCCATGAATCTAAGGATGGATTTTTCTGTAATCTATTTTTTAGTGTCATTGTGGTGCATTGAAAGTAAAAAGATTGGGCACCGAAAATATATTTATATGCAAATAAAATTTGTGTATTTAAATATATGAAAAAATAGAAAATAAGATTGTCCAAAATAATAATTCATATGCCTAATATTATCTGAATCAGGAAAAAAAAACAGCCTTAGGCCCCAAGCCTCCAAGTCTTTTATTAATTTGCTTCTCATTTTCATTCAAATTTGATGATCTCCTTAGCTATAATGTTGGTAGAGCCACTTAAGCCTCCAAGGCTAGTGGTGATATATTATATACGCATAGCGGGAACTATATTCCATGTTATAATATAAATATATAGGCATTGCTTAAATTCTTGAACATTCCCATTGTTTACAAAATACATTGTAAGTCACTCTAGTTTTTTTTTTTATATAAATACTACCAACAGCACCGAGTTTTAATTTCACAAATTCAAACTTATTCCAAACAAAATCATGTTACTTTAGTATAAAAATTCGGATATCTAAATTGTTTTGGATAGAATTCGGAATATAATTTTTTTCTAACTAATTATATGCAGATACAAATTTAAATATATTAAAATATGTTAAAATTTTCGAATATCTTTCTAGATAACTCGGGCTTTTTATGTAATGTCGTTTTTTTTAAATTAAAAAACATTAGAATTTTTTTGTAGCATTTCCTTTCACAATCACACTTTTTTTTTCATTTTGCAAAATTCAATTTTTTTTTTCTGGCCTGTTGTGAGGTGGCCACTTCAATCTTACATGATCTCAAATAAATTCATATAATTTAGTTTTTATCTACTATTAAAAAAATCTAGTTTTTTTTTTTTGTGAAAGTGTTATTATTTCCTAAGATAATGTTGATGTTCCTCTTGATTAATTTATTACAAAGATTTTACATAGATATATAATATAAAATACTGTGTCTATTTTACAACAAATGTTACTTTTGCATTCACCAAGAACTAATGAATGCTGTTTGCCCTGAGAGTTATAACAACACACCATTTCTTGTCTGCTCTAAAATGGCATTTCCAAATGGCAGAGAACCATCTTATCTCAAGGCTCCCCATGAGCAAAAGCATCAGCTTTATCGCTCCCTACTAGTGCCCGAAACGGAGGATTCAGATGCTGTTGGCTTATGCTTCTGTTTCGCGTGGAGGGTTTGGTTTTGGCTACATCAACGACTATCATCCACCCGTTTATAATCTGTCAACGTAAGGAACCACCGTCATGTATGACTTATGCAACCTCGGATTCTGTTCTGAATGCATTTCGAGTGGTTAAAAAAGCGTGGTTCTTACCTTTCCATTCATCTCTTTCAGCGCAGCACTTGCAGCTTTCTCGGTTGTGTACTCCACAAATGCATAGCCTTTTGATCTCTTTGATATCTTGTCCATGATAATTTTGACTGCAAAACAAAGTTAGAAGGCGATGATCTCTCCGTTTACCGACCATTTCTTTTACGGGTAACTAGGAAAGTAACCGAGTTACCTTCAACCAATTCACCGAAGCCTTCAAATGCTGCCCGTAACGTCTTTTCAGATGTATAGAAAGACAGTCCTGAGTTGTTTAGGGAAACCAAAGATATTATGTTATGAACCAAAGCTAAAGAAACCATGGACAAGTGAGAAAAACCAAACATTCAATCCGAAAGTGACATCGTACCAGTTATAAACAGCTTCTTTGTCTTTACGGGAGGAGAGTCCGAATTATCAGGATCTTTGGAATTGCGAGCCGCATTGCCTTGAAAAACAAACAATAGATGGCCACCATTGTTACTACAATGTAAGGCATTGCATCGATGTTCAGCAAATCAATGTAAATACGTTTAGGAGTTTGCAGAACATAGAAAGCAAGCCCTCGATAATTCATGAGATAATCAAACTCGTGCAAAGCTAAAGCTTTCCATGAAAGGCGTAACATGAACCAACGGGGAAATTCTTTTAAAATTTTTCCTTTTCTACCAACTTCATGTTAGCAACCAGTTACCGAAACAAACTCTGACCACCCGTTTAAAAACCAGGAGACAGCCAACTTGGTTAGATAGACAAGGTAAATAAGATACCAGAACTGCATAACCCCTTATAATGTTCCAATTGTATTTTTTGCTTGATTCATGATAAAGCGTGACATTCTATGTGTTCGTCGACCTTATCATAATAGATGAAAACGATCAGGATCCAAGATGAGACAGGCATTATATACTCGAACTAGAGACTGACCTCCATAATCTTTGTTTGGTGACTCGAAACTGTTATCTGATACAACATCAAGAACACCGGGAACACCTGTGTCATTTAGAACACACCAATTAGCTTGATTCAGAAAAAAGAGAAAATGTATCCGAAATCATATTTTCATACGACAAACCAGCTAACTCCTGTATGCACTCGTCATCTAGTTCACAGCAAAACCCAAAAATGGATTGCCAAGAAATATGGTAAAGACACATTTGTGCATCCTTTTCACTGCAGAGAAGAGTAAGTAAAATGTCGTTAGAGGCGAACAGGAAAAGAACTTCTAAACACAATCAGTGACACTTACTTCCTCAACACCTTGGATAGCAATTTAACACAATGATCAACCATCTGAGCCTTAGTAACAATCTCAACTCCGGGCTTTTCAATTCGAACCTTCCAGTGCTTCACACTCCCCTCTGGAAACAGGGGAAAATCCAGCTGGTTCGTGAAACTATAATCCCTTTTCGCCCAATTATAATCCAATTCGGGCCTAACAGATAGTACTTCAGGTAAACCTAAAATCGTATGCAACAATCACAAAACACTTGTGACCAAGGAGATATGGCATACACTTGATGTCCAAATGGGTACCTCAAGAACAATGTGCTTTCAGTGGCACCAGGCGCTAATTGTATAGAATCTGCTAATTAGAAGCAATTTATACAAAAATTTACACTCACAAGCGAGCTTGCGTGAAGAATCTTCGTCAATATCACAGCAAAACCCGAAATGGGTATCGTACGAAGCATCAAACATACTCATCTGTGCATCTCTTTCGCTGAGTAAATACCAAAATTAAGTAAGCAAAACAAGATAAAGGTACGGTTCCAAAGGGGGAAAAAAAACTGAACTTTGAAAAAAAAACCCACTTGCCCAGAACCTTCGAGAGAATCTCCACATAATAATCGACGAAATCGACTTTGGATTCGAGCCCTTGTGGAGGCGTATCTACACGCACCCTCCAATGGCGATTACTGGAGGAAGTGGAAGAATAAGAAGAAGGCGGCGATGAAGTTGCAGAGGAGGACGTGCAGCGAGAAGATGGGGAGAGAGTGGAGGAGATGTTGTAACTCTTCCCAGAACTTTGGAATTTGATATTCGGACAAGATCTACGGAAGATTGGACGATCAACAATGTCTGAAAAACAGTTAGAGAGGTTGATGCAGGGAATAGGAGAAGAAGACAGAAGAGCTTCCATGGCAACCCCTCTCCTCTCTAAAGAAAAATCTCGATAAAATACATGAATATTTTTAACCAAAAAAAGGGTAACCGATGGGTTTCGGTCGATCCAAACTAATTTTGGGTATGGGCGAGAGACGTCTACGTTTCACGGTTTAATTAACTAAGTTGATAATATAGAACAACTTATCTAAATATATCATAAGAAAATAACATAAATCATACCGATTTATTATGTAAAATCAGGATACAAATTGTTAGTTTGACAATAACCTGTATGACAATTCAAATTTTGTCATATTACTCACACCAAACCATAATTATATTCATAGTATGAAGGAGATTTTGATCCCAACTTATCGTATGTGTACTGAACTACTGATGTAGCGTATCATGTAATAAAAAGCGATGTCGTCAAACAGGTCAGCATACACGTCGATGCCAGAGTCGATCTAGCTGCCCTCAATGTGTCTGCATCGACCTGGCCGAAGTCGGCGGCTATGACATCGACCTGCCCAGATCGATGGTCTCGTGCCTTAGCTCCTTTTTGTGCCATTTTCTTCAAGAATGATCTCTTGTCATCCGTGTCGATCTGCGTAAGCTCTATGATCCTCGTTCCCATCCAATTGGTGCGTAATTGTTCGTATATTTTTGAAAATCTACCAAAGAATGCGAAATATATGCCTAATATGCTGCGAATGTCTAGAAATAAGAGAAATCTTATGCAGTGATGTATAAGAAAACATCGTACAAATGCAATGTTATCAATACGTCTCTAAATCCATTGTCTTGCTCACTCGCCTCATCTTTCTCCTCCCATTGCCTCACCTCGCCTTGTCTTTCTCGGTACCTCAATACCACCTTTGCCTTCGGTGGTTCGGTCTCACCCTTTTCGTTCGGATAGTCCGCGGATAATAACCTACATGTAGAGAAGGCCATAGATATCCCGTATCCGAGTTACAGGGATAGTTCACAAACGAGTTTCAATCCTGAACTTGAATCGGGTCCTGAAATTCTGGATATTTGAAGGATATCGAGTTTTTCATTGAATTAATTATCAAGGGAGTTAAATCAATTTAAAATTTGAATTTACTTTATACAAACTATAATTTTGACGAAGTACAAAGTAAATTAGTTTCAGATTGTGGAGCTAAATAAAGATTAAATAATAACTGTTTTTAAGATTAAAAGATAAACAAAAAATGTTTCATAATAACATATATATTTTGTTCAAGTTAAAATGACAAGAAGGGACGAAGAGAAACACGAAAACAAGAAACAGAAGACAGGAGAGACAACATAAGTCTACCGAGTGGCCTCGCGGCCTGACATGCGACAATCCGTGTCTTGATGTGTTAGAAACGAAAGAAGAAGATTTGAAAAAAGAAAAAAAAACTCCATGAGTTCTCACTTTCACTCGCATTCCCATTCCTCGGACAGTGCGTTTCAGAATCTGATGAACCCTTTGTCTTTCAAGCTCTCTACGGTTTCTTTTATGCTAACCTCCAACGGCACGAACTCGATCCCCAAACTCTCCGCTTTCTCCTTCGATACTTTATACGTCGGAATGTACTGCTTCTCGTCCGCACACCTGCGTTACATCAGTCGATGCTTTTCGAGTTTAGTATACCATGTAACAGTTTCTATAATCAGAAAGTAACTAACTAGTCCTGTTTCATGCACTTAGAAGTGACCAGAAAGTGTTCTTGAAAGTGAAAACCTAAAAGGTGACAGAGGAAAGATTTCCGAGAATTACTTTTCAGGGAGCTGGAAATCAGGGTAGAGCTTATGCAAGATGTCCACAACTTCAGAGTAATGAGCAACTCTTTCCACCAAACAGTACCGCCCGTTGGCTGATGGGTTCTCGAACGCTTGGATGTGAGCGTTCGCTACGTCTTTGACGTTCACCCACCCGAAAGTCGCGTTAGGAAACGTTTGCGCTCCTGCGAGTTCATGAAGACCACGCTATCAGTCTAAAGAGTTTCCATGTATTTCTCCTTTACGGATTTCTAACTTGTGCATAGGTATATTCGATGGTCACACGACTCTGAGGAACCGAGTAATTATAGCGTTCACATGTTTCCATATATTTCTATACACAGGGTCGGATTATTTACGTCAGAATCTATGCATGTTACCTTTGATCAAGCTTAGAACAGCTGCGGCACTCGTGTTGAGCGTCGGCTGTAAGAGAGGACCTATAACCATCGCTGGATTTATCGAAACCAACTGCATATCATTCTCTTTCGCGAATTTCCATGCCGCGTCCTCGGCTAGCGTCTTCGAGAGCACATACCAGAGCTGAGAAATAAATCACACAACATTACCATTTTCCTATGATCTGCATAATGTGAGTTCTCGTTTTTGCCTACACATAACAATTAGATCCTATTTTTATGCACAGATTACCTTGGCGGCCCTGCAGTAATCAGGATCGGCGAACCAAGTCTCGTCAACGACTGTCTCTGGAGTTCGTGGCTTTCCGTTGAACGCAACAGCGGCTATGGAAGACGTTAAGACGACCCGTTTAACTGAAGAAGTCTTCAAGCATGAGTTTAGAACATTTATCGTTCCCTTCACGGCTGGATCAAGTAATTCGACCTAGAACAAGGAGAAGGTTAATTATGCAGGAGAACGTGTTAGGATCCGAGGATAACGAAAAAAAACATAGAATGTAAATCAAAACCTGTGGATCTTTGACGTCGTGATAGAAAGGGGAAGCGGTATGGAAAACGCCCTCACAGCCATCAATGGCTGAATCGAAGGACCCTTCTTCCAACAAGTTTGCTTTGAAAAGCTTAAGCCTTTCACTGGCGCCTTCCAGCGCAAGTAAATGCTCGGTTTTTCTTGGATCGTCTGCACCATATATGAATCCCATATGCTAAAGAATCACAGATCTAAACCCTAAACATTCCATCACAAATTCATCGAAAACTTGAAGAAGAGACAAGTTTTGACGAAACGTTAGATCCGAAACATCCGATTCTCATCGGAGAGAACACGAAGAATAAAAGTTGCAAATAGATACAAAAGACAGATCAAGAACTCACTCGGGTCACGGACAGAAGCCTTAACGGTGTAACCACGTATGAGAAGAAGCTTGACGATCCACGAGGCTATATAACCCGACGCTCCCGTGACACACACGGTCTTTCCTCCTCCGCTACTCATTCTTCTTCTTCTTCCTCTTGAATTGTTCTAAACGTAAAATTTTGTTTCTTGTGTCGTTGAGGACTTGGTTTTGTTGCCTTTGGTTCCTTGTTTCTCTGGTTTTGCATGGTTGCCATTTTTGGACAAGTTAGTTGAGCTTTCTATGGGCTTTTCTCCGCCACGTGTGTGATTCTTGTTAATGTGCTAATTTTGTAGGATGGTTCTTTGGCATAATTTACTTAGTTATATAATATGTGAAATATGTTGATAACGGTCAGTTCGACAAGATTACTCGTTATAGGTCTATGTCTCTCAATATAGTCGTCCTTATTAACTTTTCTAATTCGAAATCTAGGGTGTATATAAAAAAATATATGAACCTTTTTAAATTAAATAAATATATAAATTTTTAATTTTGTATAAAAATAGACAAATTTTAAAATTTTTCGTGTAGATCCACACAAGTTTATATAAAAATACACAAACTTTAATATTTTTCACATGCAGTCACACAAAAAATCTACACAAACTCATGTATTTATTTATCAAATTTTAAAAGTTTATTTTTTTAGTGATATTCCCTCGAAATCTATCAAAACTCTCCACGATTTATCAAAAGCTTTTTAGTTTTTGTCGGAATATTCTTGGGGTTAAGATGTCGAAAATTTAGATTCTTCCGTGACAATTATTTAAAAAACAGTCTAAACAACTGTAGCCGTTATAACGAGAACACAGGCAATACTGTTGTCATATGATAGATTCGGATTTACTTCTTCCTCTACCAAGAATCTCAGTGTACCTAGACTGATGCGTTGGTATAGGCTACTAATGTACATGCACTATTATATAGTTTTTATTTCTTTTATGGAGAGTTATAAATACAAACTCTATAATTTTCAATTTTTTACGTATTGTACAATGTCTATATAAGAGAAAATACGAAGCTGTGAATTGTTATCGATTTCATGAGTTAAAATATCTGTTTTTAACATTTCAATATCCGATATATCAATTTGAAATATTTTAACATTTGAAATATCAATTAAATCAAATTTAAAAATTAGGTATTTGTTTGATATATTTTGTAAAGTTATGACACTTATATATAATTTTTCCTATTTTTATAATTCTCTATGTTATATAAAATTTTATTTTTTTAACTCAAATTTTAAATATACTTAAAAAAAATAATATATATATATATATATACACATATATGATTGATTGTTTATTCTTAATTCTCAATGCTCTATTTGAACACACGGAACATAGGACACAAACTCTTAACATAACACATACATAGATACTTTTAACACACTCGCAAAACTACTCGAATTTCACCCTTTTTAACTATGCAATAACTTTCCCTTCTACGGGCAAAATAACAAAAATAACCTTGAAAATGACAATAGCAACAAGCATAACCTTAGAATGTCTAGGGTTTTCCAAAAACCCAACATTTTTGAAAAAATTACGATAAAACTAAAACAACTAATATGACCAAAATTTCTAGGTATGACTAGTTTAAAAAGGTATGACCAGTTTAACTAGTCTAACTAAAATTTTAAACTAACAAAATCTGCACGAATTACATTTGGTATCAGAGGCAGGCAACGATTATGGATAACGAAAAAATTGATTTTTCGAAAAGATTACCATTAATATTAACAAACGAAGACGAGTGTTATTCCGGATTTCCTTATAAATGAAAGGTGATAATAATACCAAAAAATCTTCATAATCCAAGCCGGTATTATATTTGTACCATCTTTGATGATGATACTAATCATAATCTCGGAAATAAAAAGAAAATAGGATTTACCTTAAATAATATTGTTGAAATGATTTCTTATGGAATCATACATCAAAATCCAGAAAATCACGAAGAATTAAAAAGAAATATTGAAAATATAAAATCAGATTTAGAAAATCAATTACAAAGATTAATAAAAATATTCGAACGGAATCATAAAAAACAAGATGAAACTAATAATATAAACAAAAAATTAGAAGAAATAATAAATCTACAAGAAAAAAGTATTAAGGGAATGAAACAACACTCTGAAGAATTAAAAGAATATATTAAAACCATAATAGGATGACCGAAACCATAAAAGAAACTATAGAAAAATTAATTAGAGAAACAACTGTCGAATTAAAAGAATTATTACTAAATATAACATAAATACTCACAACAACAAATAATTACAGTTATAATAACAAACAAATTCAAATAATAAAAGAACTTAACGAAGCTAAAGAATTAATAAAAAATATTATTACAAAAAATAAAGGAAAAAAATAATACATCCAGACGAAGATGAAAAACCGAAAAATATTAGAAATAATAGAACAGTTATAAGAAATAATCGAACGACTTAATTATTATCGAAATTATTTTAAGAAAGAAACAGATATATCACTATAAAAGAATTGCAAAATTATTTTAAGAAAGAAACAAAAGAATTAATTATTATCGATCAAACTAACCTTCGAATTAGATCACCACAAAAAATATAATAGAAGGATTAGATGATCAGATAGAAAAATTATCAACATTATTAGCTGCTCTTAATATACCCGAAGAAGAACAACCGGATGAAACTGAAAAAATTGTCTTAGACTACAGTAGTGATGAAAATCCCTACGGAAGTCCTTATGACAATCCGTTTTTAGTTAAAACTGAAAAATTAGAGAGGGGATGAACTAGTAATGAAAAAACACTACCTAGAAAACGAACACATGATGAATATCAAGGATACAAGGATTATGAATACGAATTATATCAAAATCAATATATTCCGAAGGGAAACAATTGGAGAAAAATTCCTTTTGAATATATTCCAAAATATGATACATTCAATATAAAATCATCATAAATATTAAATCTAGATTATGAAATTAATCCTATTAGAACATTAGAAGATTGGAAAAATCGTACAAGTTTACTAATACAAATTAATAAGGAATTAAGAGAATTACACCCTCACGAAATGTTAAGTTATTTAGAACATAAAACAACAGGAATAGTATATAACTACTTAATAGGATTATCATCAGGAATAAAAGCAAAAACAATTCTAAGATCAAATACATGGGAAACATTTGTTAGATTAATCGACGTAATAGGAGAAGAATTTCTTGGGACAACTTTTAACGCACAACTAAGAGAAACATAAATATCAGAAGTTGCATTATGGAAAATAGTAAATCTTAGAATTTGTAATATGTGCTATCTTGAAGCATTTATTTGCGAATTTAGAGATCATTACTATCAACTAGTAACAGATAAGAAAATGGTAGCCGAAGAATTATTCTTTAATAAACTACATTTATCAATATCAGAAGAAATAAAAACCATATACCAGAATAAAGTAAATGAAGGACAAATTCCCAATACTGTGGGAAGGAGAATAACAACATTAAAAGATTGACATTTATTTCAATGCAATAAAGAAAAACGAAAACAAGAAGCAAAAATCGATAAATTATGTTGTGGAGCAGTACCAGGACAAATAGGCAAATATGGTTGTGAACCTATTCGCCAAAAACAAAAGAAAAAGAAATGGAAAAAAATCTCATATAAAAAATACAGAAAACAAAAATATATATCACAAAAATATTTCAGAAATATAAAACAATACAAAAAGAAAAACTATGGTAAAAAGGACACATATTGTCCTTCTAAGAAAAAAGGACTGTAAATGTTGGCTATGCCAAGAAGAAGGACATTATGCAAATGAATGTCCTAAAAAAGGAAAGAAAAAGGAAACAGAAATATTACAAATAGCATACCATATGGGCTTTGAACCAATCGAATCAGATTCAGAGTTCGACTCTGATATCGAAATATATGCATATACTACTGAATCATCCGATTCAAAAAATGAATAGAAAAAAATACTAAAATAAGGAAACTCTAATGCAACATTTATACAAATAACTATTGAAAAGAAAAAAACTATTAGCATATATAGACACTGGAAACTCTATGTTTTGTTAAAAGAAATATCATCAAAAAATGGATACGATTAGAAAAACCACTAGGATAGTTGTGGCTGATAAATCAGCCCATAAAATCTGGTATGTAGCGATAACCCATTAGATATAAAAAATACAAATGAAGAATTAATAATAATAAAACTAAAAAGCCCCGAAGATGAAATCAATGTACCAAATAAAATGCAATATACTCACATAGATGTAGAAGAATTCACCAAAGAATGCAAGGAACTACTAGATAAAGGTATTATACGAGAAAGTACGTGTGACACCCGTAACCTGTGTACAGTATACGGGCTATGCCACATGGACGATATAAAATAAAATAATAAGTCGCGGAAGCAAAATCACGAAATCCAAAAACATTTTTAATCAAACCAGAGTAAGCAGCGGAAAATACAACAGGCGATCAGTATCGCAAAATAACACATGTCCGAATAGTTATAGTTTAACCGTACAAAATGTGGGAATACAAGTCCCGTAACCCAAAATGTAAATCCCGTACATGATGCTGCCTCTCTCAAGTCGTCGTCTGCCGGATGCGCTAGACGTAATCCTCGTGATCTGAAAAATATAAACCACGAGGGCTAAGCACAACTGCTTAGTGAGTAACCCGGGTTGAACCCGATAAACCCGTTCTCAGCGAGAACGGTGTTAATTCGATAATTCACACCCAACAATCAACAATGATATCCATGCATAACCACATCACATCAGTCACAAATATGTCAAACACAATCATACCCATATGACATCGCATCATAGGGTCAGCCAAAGATCCTAGTCATATCAACATGACTAGAAGCATCTCACACACGCCCGTCACTCGCGTGACATTGGCCATCGCATCACATGCGACTACGCGCGTCTCCTGCACCTGTCACTCGCGTGACCTCCGATGTCAAGTCCATGACACAACGGAAATATAAACATACCCGTATGGAGTCCACCATAAGGTCCAGCCATGCGAACTACCCAGAATAATCATGCAACGGGTCACTCTCATCATTGGATCGCACAACTCACCGCATGAGATAATCGGAAAATTAGCCGGAAGAGGGTTCTGAGACCTAGACCGGTCGTCCAGTGTC